GCTCAGACATCCCCAGCTCAGACATCCCCAGCTCAGACATCCCCGGCTCAGACATCCCCAGCTCAGGCATCCCCAGCTCAGGGAGCTGTACTCACCACCTTTCATCATGCCCACTTCGTAACACTTGCGCAGCCGGCAGGCCTGGCAGCTCTTCCTCCGGTTCTTGTCAATGGTGCATTGGTTTGTAGCTGGACACATGTAGTCATTATGTCCTAGTGGAAGTAAAAGGGTCAAGTTAGTATCATTTCAGGAAACATAAGAGGTCAGACTCTTACCCTTAATTTCTGCCTCAGACTATTGCTTTAACGGTTGTTTGGTCAAAGCCTCACCCTATCACATGACCTATGCTGGACAGCATACAGTGGGTTTTGTTTTGTGGTGCAGGAGATGGAGGCTGGGGTTTCTCGTGTGCTAGGTAAGTGCCCTGTGGCTAGACACTGTCCCCATTTTGCAGGGAAATGCCATAAGGACATATATTCTCAAGTCAGGGTTCCTCTCAGTGAGCTTTGTTTTGCTTTGCTTTGGTTTTTCATTTGGTTTGATCTGAGTTTTATGGGATTTCTCAGACTACTCACAAAACAAAGAAACAAAACCCTGTAAGAAGAACTGCTGTAAATCAAACTTTTCAGAATGCTGAAGAGAATAGAAGGGCTCTTCAATTAATTACATATTCAGATAAAGTGCAGAATATCTAAATTCAAGTCAGAGAAGTAGGCTAGGTGGAAGTTAGTCTGTCAACTGCTAGCTAGGGAATGCTGGCTATTCCCTAAGGCTCATTTTCCTTCTATCTAAATATAATCACACACACAACACACACACACAACACACACACACAATACACACAACACACACACACAATACACACACACAACACACACAGACACACACACAACACACAGACATATACACCATATACATACACACACATGCACACACCACACACACACACAACACACAGACACACACACAACACACAGACATATACACCATATACATACACATACACACACATGCACACGCCACACACACACACAACACACAGACATATACACCATATACACACACATACACACACATGCACACACCACACATACATACACACACAACACACACATCACACACACACACCACACACACACCACACACAGAGAGAGAAAGAGAGAGAGAGAGAGAGAGAGAGAGAGAGAGAGAGAGAGAGAGAGA